TAATAATATTGAATAATATTAACATTAATTATAGAAGAATTTGAAAAATCATCAATAAACTCTGATAATAATTCAATGGCACATCTAATCTTACCATTATTAATTCACATTATTATTAAATCTAATCCAAAAAAATTAATTTCTAATCTAAGGTAAGTTTTAAATATTTATAAATGCTTATTATTAAACATTATATTATGTTTATTTATTGAAAATTTTATATTTAATATAATATGATTATGTATATGTGTTTCTCTCAAAAAAAAAAAAGATTTATACAGAGATTTAGAGTAAGAAATTTAATAGATAACAAAATGTCATACTGTTTAACAAATATTCTAGCAGTTATTGGATTTTAGAGACTGCTGATTACTTGGATTTAAACAACAATAACATTATTAACAGCAGTAATGGTAGGAGGGTTGGGCATGAAATAGTTAAAGTGGCTGATAGTGGTGTAAAAGTTATCACTGATGCATTTGATTCTTCTTATAAGTTGTTTGGTTGTATTCTTGGATCAAATGATATATTTTTCGATAAGGACAATATTAATAACTCCTGGCATTGATGAAGCTAAACAAGAAAACGAAATGCAACAGCCGCAACAACACCAAAAACATAAATCCTCATCCTCATCAATGTAAAAGATGAATATTTACTTATTTTTAGAATGTTTAATAAAATTGTTTAAGTTAATTAACTTATTCATTATTACTATCATCACCATACAATATATCATTAGGTTGATTGTTTGCTTTCATTTAATGTGCTTCCACATTTTTCAGGCAATGGAAATATTATAAAAAAAGTAAATGTTTTTATTTATCATTACCATAATTATTATTGTACCGCATCATAATATACTGATATTCTATAATTAGGAAATTAAGAATTCAATATATATATAAATATGATATAAAAATCTCACTGCCAATCCAAAAATTTCTAGATTGTTCAATTGATGATTTTCATGTCAAAGATGTCCCAGGTTAGAATTAGCATTAATT